AGAAAAATTGAATAATCATAATTGTTTCTCAAGATATTTATTTCAAAAATGTGTTTGAAGAAAAATAATAATAAAGATTTTGCCAAAATTATTTTCTCAAAAATACTTGTAAATCTATAGCCAAAAATATTGTGAAATAGATATTCACGTTAATTTATTAAACTAAAAGATAATTTATACTTAGATTTTTTCATTTATTAATTGATATTTTTCTTTATATTTTCAATATGTTGAATTTATTATATTTAAAAATAATATATCATATTATCATATCCTTGTTTTAGTCAATTTTTCAATATTATATTACTCTTGCTACCTTCTGATCTAATTTAAGTGAATTAATTTAATTTATTAAATTTTTTTGTAAAATAGAATAAGTTAAAATTACATCACTATATTTGTGGCACTATAACATCATCAAAATTTACAGTTTTAAATATATTAATACCTAATAGTATGATAAAATAAATATAAAATATTAATTAGTGAATTATTATTTCCATCTCAATTTATATGGTATTTTTAAACTTTAAGGTCAAATAATATTTTTAACAATAATTTTTTAATTATATATTTTAAGTCATCAATTATTTAATTTATAATACTTTTTATAATTTTTAAATTTGTAAAATTTATTTTAATTTTTTTGTAAAATACTATATTTTAAATATTTACACTCGAAATTCATGTAAAAGGTAAATTGCTTGCCATTTAAAATTCAAGTCGTGCCACAAAGCAAAGAACTCCGAAGCAGAAAACCAGACCGGTAAAAATGTCGAGCATTTGCAGAAGCAAACCGGTCGAAGGCCTTAGACTCCTGAACCGGGTTCTAACTACATCGACGCCGTATATCCACCGGTCAGACCGTTCCATCGCCACCGTAGCTTTCGAAGAAGTCCGATCTTCGCCGGATAAACCTTACGATTTCACAGCTTTTATATTCCACGGTCTCTTAGGTTCCGGTCGAAATTGGCGATCCTTCTCTCGTTCTCTAGGTTCCTCCCTTTCTGCAGGTACTTTAGTCAAATCAATTTCTAGCTAGTTAAATTAGTTTCGATCAGTTATTATGAATCTTTTGTATTTTGATTAGTTTCATTCCGTTACTGGTGAATAATTTGGGCTAGTTAATGGATTGATACTCCTTCGCCGTAAAATTATACTGTGCAAATAAGTAAATTTCATGTGTGTGTATATACTATATGTTGAATTGGATTAATCTGTTGTATGTTTAATTTGGGAGAATTGGTTTCGTAGACAACTTGATATTTGAGCTGAAAAGGTCATTTTCTTCTATTCAATTTGTCTCATTTCATCGTTTAATTCTTTATATTTTGTCTCTTTAAGTGAAAACACTTCTGGCTTGTCACTGCGTTAAAATTTTGCAGCTTATATACTTTTGTATGTGTAATGTGTTTTTTTAGATGGTGTAAATTGGAGGATGGTTCTTGTGGATTTGCGGAATCATGGGAATTCAGCTAAAATTGAAGGCTTTGTGCCACCACATGATATGGAAAATGCTGCAAAAGATGTAGCTAATTTGGTGATTTCAAAGGGTTGGGATTGGCCTGATGTTGTTATAGGGCATTCCATGGGTGGTAAAGTCGCCTTGCAGTATGTTGAGAGCTGCTCTCGAGGTGTTTATGGCCAATCGGCTCGATTGCCCAAGCAGGTGCTTGCTCTTTCTTGCAATTGATTGAAATTTTTTTTTCTAATCCTGCTTTTGAACCTCATTCGGTATTCATGGATAGCTGCTCGGATCAGCAGTTGGGTCGTGTGTTACATATTAATTTGGTGAAATGGTAGTTCAATTTTGCACTTTTTTTTTCTTTCTGTGCTAGTATCTGGTTTAGCTTCTTTTTTTGATGTTCTATTGTTGTTAAGATTATCTTGGCAATATGCAAGTCATCCCATTGCCTGTTTAAGCAATGTCCTCCTTCATTTAGTTCAATCTGTTTACAGGATGTTTAAATGAAGTTTTAGCTTATCCTTGATAATACCATGTAAGGAAAGAACCTTGTTCTTGGAGATATTTGAAAGAAGAAATAAGTAAAAGATAAAAGACATATACTATAGCTCTCTCTTCCTCTCAATATGAATGTTGTTCTATCTTTGGTTTGCTTCTTTGATCTAGAATGTGTTTATATAAAACTATTCTAACCATGAAAAAGCTACAACCGGATGGTTGTCACTTGCCTGTGTGTTTATAACTGTTTCATTGAGGGGCAAATGGAGAACTTGCGGAAGTTATGTAGGTTTTCTTTGTAGAATACGTTATGGTTCATTATTATTATCTTTTTAATGGTTTATGTTGTTGCCTTTAAATCTATTATTTCATTCCCTTGCACAAAAAATAAGTGCGTAAGTTTTGATGTTAGCTAGATCTACGTTGAGAAATAATGCTTAAAAATTAGTCTTTTACTTGTAAATTCTTGTAATTTTGGAGTGTCTACAAACTTATGGAATCAACATAAACACGGCAAACACTGCATACACTGTGCGAGCTTAGCTTGGCAGCCTAATATACACTTCAAATTGGTGATGCAGCCACTTTCCACAAACTTCTCCAGTAAATTGGGGAATCTTGTGCAAAAATGAGTCCCGTGGGAATATAGAGGTCTCAGACAATAATCTGAGTAGTGACTGCTTTTAACTGTCTCTGATTGTTCCACTTGCGTCATGTCTTTGCTGAACTCTTTTGTTAAACTATATTTTACTCCCCTGATGCAGAACAGCTCTGGGTATTGGACTCTGTCCCTGGAAAGGTGAACCCTGATGATAGCAATAGAGAAGTAGAGAAAGTTATGCAGACACTGCAGAGCCTACCTTCACCAATCCCCTCTCGAAAGTGAAATCTCTATTCCTTCCTATCACCTTTTTTTAATGTGATACAGTATATGCATATTTTGGTTGTGTCTAAGTTTTATGCTCAAGATGTATTGTGTCATTTTGGTATTCAGATTTATACAACATTATATCTAGATTTATACAACATTATATAACCAGTTTCTTTTGGACAATTTTTGGATGATCTAGCAAATAGTCTAGCTAAGTATTAACGGTTGGTGTGTAGCATTCAATTGGACCTAGAAATCAGCAGGACTTGGAAAGGGTGTAAAATCACATATTATGTGGGTTTTGCAGTAGTCTGACACTTGCAAACATTTATGCTTTCTGTACTATGTCGTAAATAATAACTCAATGAGATTGCGACATGTCTTGGTTAAGGCTTTATTAACTTCTAGGATTGTTGAAAACGCCAAGTGCTACTTAGCAGTTAGCACACTCTACTTGCACCTTTTTTTGACGCGTTTAGTCTTTGCCAACCTGAATATTCTCATATGAGTTTTCTCGAACATGTTTTCTCATTGTCTCTTACATGAATCTTGCATTTCAGATGGCTGGTAGATCACTTGTTGAAACTCGGGTTTTCCAAGGCATTATCAGAATGGCTGGGCAGCAATCTTGAGAAATCAGGGGATAGCATGACATGGAACTTTAACATTGAAGCTGCTGCAGAGATGTTTGATTCTTACAGGTAGAACCAGATCCATTCTTCTTCAAGAAATTCTAGTGATTGTATTCTTGAAGGTTGTTTACTTAAAAGAATGGAACTTTTCAGGGAGAAAGATTATTGGCCTTTGCTGGAGCACCCGCCAAAAGGGACAGAGATAGCGATTGTGCGTGCTGAGAGAAGTGATAGGTGGGATCCAGAGACTGTCCAGAAACTCGAAAGCATTGCTTCCAACAGAACTGGTGGATCCGAAGGCAAGATGTCCTATCATCTCCTTCCCAACTCTGGTCATTGGGTTCATGTCGAAAATCCAAAGGGGCTTCTTGAAATTATAACTCCTAAATTAGCTTCTATTGTTTAGCAAGTTTCCTTTGAAAGGTTTCAAAGGGTCCTAATTTAAACATTCTCACGAAAGCATTTTGTTCTTGCATATCTTGATATCTCTCAGTGTTGTTTCCAGTTTTCAATAATTGAAAAGTGGTGAATTCCGTTGTTGCAAGAAGTTGGTTTTCAATATCTACTGATCATATTGCGTGTTCGATGTATCATGTATGAAACAAGCATAAGTAGAGTTAGATAAAATATATGATTAAGCACAGTGACGGAGTAAGGGGGTTCAACATATGAAGAACAAAAATTGTTTTAATCATATATAAATAGTGTGGTTATTCAACGAAAAGGATTAGAATGAATCCTCTTCCTAGCTCCGTCCTTGGTTTAGAATACCTAATATCAACTTAGAAACGAGAATTATTATAGTTGATAGTAACTTATTTGGGATTGAGGTATAGTTATTTGTTGTGATTACTATCACTCATAATCCTTGAATTTATGTTGTAAGAGAATAAGAGTGTGATCTAGTAGGTTGAACACTATGATGTCTCACACTCAAATTCCAGTAAAGATAAAATATTAGATGATTTTAACCTTTAATTTGGATGATATCCATAACAAACATACATTAAACTATGAAGTTAGCAACTACAACAATCTTAATGAAGGTACCCATAGTTTTTCTTTCCTTTCCACATCTCGATATATATGTCTTTCTTTGATTTATCATTCAATAGCAATTACTTTTTAAAAAATACAGATTTTATCTTAATCAACACTAGATATCGAACCTTAAAGGGGGCCATTTGTAGCTGGATAAAAATAAATTGGTCATGTGCTAATTTTCGTATAACTTATATAATATTTGAAAGGTAAATAGATAATAAACTATTCATGTGTTAAATTAATATATCGCTTGATTGACTATTTAGAAACCCCCTAACTAATACATGTATAATAATAAATAACTAATCTACGCATAACTAATATCTGCGTAATTAAGAGAAGATGAAAAAGAAGCAGAAGAATCGAACGAGGAGCAAATACTGGTTTTGTTGAAATTTGTGATTACAAATTAAATATTTTGTAAAATAGGCTATAAGATATGCAAACAAAGGAAAAAGGCCCATCCTGCACATTCACAGTCCAAAATAAAGAAGAGGCCCACTTATGAATTTGTTCTGGAAACCCTAACTATATAAACAAAGGCATAGGCAATTAAGCCTCTTACTCGCACCACCATTGCAGCTAGGGTTTTTCAAGCTTCAGCAGCAGCAGCAGCAGCACACCTGCAAATCAACCTTAGCCATGGTATTCTCTTTTTCAATGAGGCGATATTGATTTTAATTTTAATTCATGTGTGATTAACCGAATTAAACTCGTATTATGTTAGAAATTTAGTCTGAAAATTTGAAGTTTAGCTTACTGAAGTTAGGTTTGTTTTGAGTATTTGTGGGAATGTATCATCAATAATATAATTATTCGGCTAGATTTGTATGCTCAAACTGAGATTTTTAAAACTCTTTGTCTGTATACTGACAGTGGCTAAGCCAGAAATGTTATAGGGTGTTCATGATTTAATATACATGTATAAAAAAGTATCTTTTGACATATATCCAGTATTATTTCTATATAGATTTAGTATAATTTTTTGACGAATTGTTTCCTACTGAACACACTTCCCTTGATGTAATTGTGATGTAGTTCTGCATAGTGATGGCCTTAAGTTTGGTATAATGGGTGGTTATTTTGTCATGTCTTTATATTTGCTTCATTATTTTAGTATTATTAAAGTTTATATGGATGGATTGTATTCGGTTGGTAGTCGAGGAGAAAGACCAGAGAGCCCAAGGAAGAGACTGTTACCCTTGGACCAGCTACCAGGGAAGGTGAATTGGTCTTTGGTGTTGCTCACATTTTCGCCTCTTTCAATGACACATTCATTGTGAGTTTTTTATTTCTCCACCTTTGTAAATTGACTAGTTTTGTTTTTGCAGAAGCTGTATAATTAATTATTTTGTTCTGAATTTGTACTTGTATATTAATTGCAGCATGTGACTGATTTGTCTGGACGCGAAACAATGGTTCGCATTACTGGTATGTACCCTGTAAAATGGGAGTGATTGCATCTGTGTAGTATCTTTGTTCTGGACTTCACCATTACTGAGTTGTTGAAAACCTTAATTTCACCAGCCAATTAAGACTTTAACATCCCCACTGTTCCCAGAATTTACATTTTGCATTTTTAAACTTCCTGTAGAACAAAGAACACATTTTGACAACAACAATAACTGGGCCTCACTGCCAAACATGTTGGGGGCAGCTATATGAAACCTCACTGATCTTGCTACCATTTAAACTCATCTCAGGCTAATACAATACAAAATAAATAAAATACTAGGAAGTTCTTTATACTGTAAGGCTAAACATCTCCTAGAAAAAGCATAGGAAGTGAACTGTTATCATGTCTAATATGTATTCTCAACTAACAGGTGTAAAAATAAATCACTTTTCAACTTCCAAATTCAATTGATTAACACATTGTACTCATTTTCTCCTTTATATTTAGTATGCCTATGCCCCTATTTATGTTACAATTTCTGTTGGCACAAAATTTAAGATAGAAAGGAAGACTTTTGAATGTTGTGGTCTAAAACTAACTTAAGATTTTTCTGTAACTCTCAATCGTTTCATCAAGTGTAAAACAATTTCTTTTAGTTGTTTCCTACTATATAAAAGGTGACATTCTTTTTGGGGACATGCAGAACATTATTAAATCTTCCTTAATTGGGAAACTAGTTAGGATGAGTGGTCTTTTTGAGCTGTCTTTTCATCTAGAGTTGGTCTACTCTATAGGTGGCATGAAGGTGAAGGCTGACAGAGATGAATCTTCTCCTTATGCTGCTATGCTTGCAGCACAAGATGTTTCTCAACGATGCAAGGTCAGATTTATTGCTCAGTCTGCTGTTGGAGTTCCTTTTCTCCACCATTTTTAAGAAATGTAAATTCTTCATGCATTTCATACATAGTTTTAAGCACTAGAAGATTAAAAAAACTGTTTTGTATCCAATTACTTGTTCGCGGATTGCGACAGGTTGCACTGGTTATAAAATGTTAATGATATGTGAAAGATTTTAAGCTTGAGCGTTGATGTGTTAATAACTGACTACATTTATGATCTCATGTATGTTTGCTCCTTGGCATATTGGGTTAGGTCCAAGCTTTTAGGATTTTGTGGGTTCTAAGTAATGACAGATGTCATTGTAAAAAATCGATTTTCAGTACTTTAGATCAAGATGCTTAGCTTACTTGAACTCTGCTCTGTTCTGTTGTTCCTTTTTTCAACACCTCTTGCTGTTAATAAAAGTGAAATTTTATGTTGATTCAATCTGTCAAGGTCATAGGTTATTCAGGTATACCTCTGTCTTATTGTGTGATGACTTTTGGAAACATTATTCTACCTATATTCCTCATTAATATTGTTTTGTAGACTACGTCTAAGCGTGATCCTGATGTTTAAATAACCAAAGTAATGCCAAATTGCATATCAAATTTAGAGTATAAGTCTAATTGTTGGATTACAATGTTTCACATCAGATAGTGTATGAAGATTAAATTAGTTTTCTGAGGTTGGCGTAGCTTCCTTGATCATGTTTTTCTTGTGTCTGTGAATAGCTAGGAAGTCAAGTTGTTGAGTTGCAACTCACTATTTTTAATAATTTACAGGAGCTTGGAATTAATGCCCTTCACATTAAGCTTCGGGCTACAGGTGGGAACAAAACCAAGACTCCTGGTCCTGGTGCCCAGTCTGCTCTTAGAGCCCTTGCTCGATCCGGAATGAAAATTGGACGCATAGGTAAAACCTCTTTAATTGTTGCATAGTTTCTTCATCTGTATGGTCTCTAATTGCTTCGGAATTTGGTTTTGTTTACAACGTGCTAATTTTTTCTTCAACTTCTTTAATCTGAATCCCCGCTGAAAGTACTTGTTGCTGTATTTTGTCAGAGGATGTTACTCCTATTCCCACCGACAGTACTCGCAGAAAGGGTGGTAGAAGAGGAAGGAGGCTGTGAATTCTTCTCAGCAACATACATGCTACATGGCGGAATATTTTGGTTAAGAATGCAACTCTGTTTGTGTTTTACAACTTAGTTTTGAACATTTTGTAGCCAGAGTTGCAAGTCATTCTGACTTGTGATCATTTGGAGCTTTTTCAATCTTGTGAGATGGAAATTATTTTGTTGAGTTGGATTAGCAAGTTGACTTCGTCATTATCTTCATTAAAAAGTGAACACTTTTTGTTGCTTCGTCTTGCTTCATTGGTAACATTGTGATCTATATACTTGAGATACCAGAAACCGTAACACTTTTGATGTCGCATTGAGAGTCAACTCAACAATGGTTAGAACAATCAAGCTTGCCCAGTGACAATTGAAATGAAAAATAACTAGTTTTTTGGATTTTGAGATGATAATAACATTGTAATGTTAGCAATGGACATGCTGTTAATGTGGTTCTTACTCAAATTAAACTTGGAGTTAATGTATGTATTTATGGTAATTTATAATTGATAGAACAAAAGTCTGATCAAACACACATGAAATCAACATCAAAATAGGCCTGTGAACGGCTAGTTGCTAGGTTGAATTTAAGCTTCCTATACCAACATTGTCCATAGTAAATAGAAGTAAAACGAGTATGATATCAAATAGCAAAATTTGAATTTTTCTTTTATGTTTGAAAGGAGGAAAACAAAAGTAACATGTTAACCAAATTATTACTTCTTGACTATGAATTTAAATGACAATTTTGGTGAAGTAAATATAGAATCAGGGTTAAAAGAGTATCCGGATTAATTGAATTGACAATGCTATCTGATGGTTCAAGGACAAGATAGTGTTGGTCAAACCCCCGAACCAATTTTATTAGGAAATACTCGAGTTAGGTTGGGGTGCTAGGTCTTGAGTAACTCGGAGAGCCTGTTGATAATTTAACTGTTCAGTGTTTAGAGAGCCTGTTGATAATTAAAGGCTTCGTAAGTCTTCAACCAATATATAAATAAGAAGAGTTGTCTTGCATTTTCAAGACAAACATAAGTGAAAAATGAATTCTCTACACAGATATTGAGAACTTGTAAGAGTTGCCAAGCTTGAAAATTAATGTAAAAAAATTCATTGAGAAACATTCTTAGGCTTAAGGTAAGTTTTAATTGTTGTTCTTACACCTACATTATCTTTTGTTCAATATAGTTCAAGACCGAGGGACTTGTGTCTTATGTCACGAGTTTAAGCCCAATACAATATTTAAGTTAAAAAACGATAGAAGACGGTCGAATCATTCCGAATTTAATATATCAATCATAATGAAAAAAAATTGCACCAAGATACTCATTCTCTTAATTCAAAGACATTTGATCAATATATGACAAGATTTTTATATTTTAAAAAAATTGCATCATTTATGAATAACTGCAAGTTAAATTTCTATACTATGGTTTCTTTGTGACGTGGCATAATAAGATAAAAAACGTTCTAGTGCAACTTAGCATTAGCCATGCTCCAAGCATTTAGAGTCTCAATTGTGATCGTCTCTGCGCCATTGTTGAAGGCGAATAAATGTGCTTTATCAAATATCGCCAACGTTGGATAAACCCTTGATGTAATGCACGTTTTTCCTCCAGCACCAAAACTTTCCACTATCGAATTATCAATCTGAAATATAATTAAATTTTTAAAACACGCGAAATTCGTATGAAATAGGTAAAAATTAACAAAGAATTGAGATGAGAGCTTACCAAACTTCTAAGAGACAATTTCTTGTCTGCTAAATCTACATCTACGTATCCAGCAAATGATGGTTTATACATAGTAGTTTCATTCTTTAGGCTTGACCTGGTGACATCAATGGAAAAAGATAAACAAACCATTCAATTGTAGTTGAATGACAATGTGACACATTCTTTTTTTTTTTGGGCGATGAAAGAACATACCTTGAGGCATCGGAACACATGAGAACCTTGTAATTATCATGAGCCTTGAAAACTCTGAAGAAAACGGGTGTGTATTCTTCTAAGTTTTTAGAAGCCAAAGTTAGAAGCCCAAAAGGCCCAAGACCACCTTGAACCGTTGAACCTTTAATGGCGCATACATCTTGCGCATAAAGATCAGCCCAACTAGAATCAAATGGCTCTGCCTTGTCTAAACTCGCGAATGAGAATATCACTTCAACGTCAGCCTGTAATTTTCAAATATAATTTGTATTTTTAACTCGCGTCTCAAATAAGTCATAAAAATGAAACAAAAGGAGAGAAAAAAAAATCAATCCCTAACCTGTGCAACTGTGATTCCTTTGATTTCAACCTTTTCTCCCTTGTTCAATTTTTTGTTATTTAATTGAACCTTTTTCTTTCTTAGTGTTTCTAATTCTTGAACAGGCCATTGAACCAATTGTTTCCCACTAGGATCAAGCCATATTTTACGAGGAATAGGGTGAACCCCGGCCCATCCTTTTTTCACATCGTTATCAACAGTATCTGATTCATTAGCCCAACCCAATAAAATCCTACGATTCTTGCCACTATCAAAGAACGTCTTGGACGCGTAATAATTACCGTAATCAAGTCTCAATCCTTTCCATCCATCAATAGAAGTGTTATCCGGAAAGTACTTATCCTTTTTGGTGTCGTACGTACCAACTGTATAGTGATCAAACCTCGTAACATCAAAGCTAACTTTAAGAACATGTTTAACATCTTTTCCATCGTACGACGTGTCCAAACCATTTTCATTTTTCAATGACACTGGAAAAAAATCAGGACATTCCCAATTCCCAGTACCCTGAGCTGAGTGGAGTGGGTGTTTAGCTTTTGTCCATTTCATGAAGTTCTTATTACTCTTGTACATTATAACTTTTCCCCTGTGATTCCTCACACTCCCAACCAATACTCTCCAGTATCCATCTCTGCCCATCCAAGCTGTTGTTGGATCGCGAAATTGGATTTTATTTATGTTTTTGTCCGCGACAATCAATGGATTGTTATCGGGCTTGATCCACTTACGAAGATATGGATCAGACATGTTAGCTGGAATTGCGTAGTTTTGGACTTGTGTTTTGTTAGCATCCACAATTCCAGTGTAGAGGATCACAGGCTTGTTGCCTGGTAAGATTGTGGCTGACCCGGACCATGTACCGTACTTGTCAAATACTTTAGACGGGTAGATAGCGGGTTCGAGCGGGATCCAGTTGATCAAGTCCTTTGAGACTGAATGAGCCCAAACAATGTTGCCCCATGTTGCTCCTTTTGGGTTGTACTGGTAAAATAGATGGTACACTCCGTTGTAATACATTGGACCTATGGAGAACAAAAGTGATAATTACTACCAAGTAAAAATTAAATTTACTTATGGTTAGTAAAAAGTATTAAACTTTTTGACTCACCATTTGGATCTGTTGTTTGTTTGAAGCATCAACATGAAAAAAAACAAAATTGAGATTGATTAGTCAAAATGCAATTGGAATATATATTAAAACTTATAAAAATGTAAAATGTAAGAATACTAGAATGGTAACATGGATCATCCAACTAAATTAATATTTAGATGAAAAAATTAAGGGAAACTTACGTAAATATACTATAAATAAAAAATATTTATCATTTATAGCAATAATATATTTTTGAATAATACACTTTTAATTCATATTACAAAAAATAATTTATTATTTACATATAATACAAGTTTTATTGATAGATAATATATTTATTTCACGTTTTAATACGCTTATAATTTAATGTGTCAACTTCTTACCAAACATGTATAATATATTTTATAAAATAGTTATAATACATATTATCGCATACTTAATTCACTTTTAATACATATTGCAAATACTATAAATAGTAAATAAATTAAAAATATCCCTAAAATAAGTAATTATTTATTAAAAGACATCTATCCAAGTAATTTCCTCAAAAATTTAATGCACGTATTTTGAAGTTCTGATGGATGGGCTTTCATTGTCACTAAAAATACAAAAAAAAAAATCTAGGAAATATAAAAAGTTTTGAGTGTTTTTTTTTTTCTTTTTCAACATAGAAATCTACCCTATTTTATTTTATTTAATATTTTTAATTTTGTAAGTTTCTAAAGGGAACCAGCTCATGCAAGGCCCACAACCTCTTTTCTATTGGAAAAAAGGGCAAATTAAAGAGAGACAAAAATTTATGACTTATTCGTAAAGAAAACTCAAATATACTATTGAAGTTAAGAGTCAACAGAACTAAATATTTAATATGTATGAATAATTCATTCAAAATCGAAAAATTATAGATACTTAATAAATTTCCATGAGTTTCTACGATGAGTACAGTTTATAATATTATTTTTGTTCTTAATTATTTGTCTATTTTTTTTATAGTTGTCCTTAATTACTTGTCTAATTTGACAAATCAAGAAAGGATAATTTTTTACCTATTAAACCCACAATTAAATAACTTTTTACTTTGAAAAATGTAAAAATTTTCATTCACTTCATAATTAATAGAGGTAAAATGATAAACTCACTACGTCATTAATTATTTTCTTAATAGGTGTGCCAATTCAAAAGTGGATAAGTAAAAAGGGACAGAACGACTATAATAATAACTAGATATGTTCACAATCAAATACATAATAAATTTTTAAAATTTATATATAGAATTTAAATAAAAACTCGTACTCAAACTTTTTAAATCATTTTTACAGTATAATTTGTGAATTTTAAAATCCTGAATCCGTCGAGTCAGAAACAAATAGGTATAAAGAGGAAAATTAAATAAAGTGAAATGACGTGCCCGAAGACCAAAGACTTTACTACAAGTTGCCAATATTGTCCAAACCATTTTGACTTTTCTTTATTCCTCAAAAAAAAAAAAACGAAAAGAAAAAAAAAGTCATTTTCTAATTGTTTTTTTTTTTCTATTGATCATGATAGTAACAACAAGGACTATATTTATTATTGTTACATTATTTCTATCCTTTTTTTTCTTTAAAATTACACAAACTGAACTGTCAAGAGAACTAATGAAATCATAACAAATGTATAGAGTAATTCATATTTTTATTTTTTTAAATTTCTTTTCATCTTTACGTCATACATTTTGGCTCTATATATTTCACGTACTTTTGGGCTCTTCACATGTTTTATTTGTATATGTATATACTATAATATAAATAATATTATATATACGATTGGTTCAGATTCTACCACCAACCCACGTACCACACCTGGTTTGGGGGTGGGAGGTGGAGTTGACTATACTATATTATAT